AAATTCGTTTCTTGACATGGCTGTCCAGGGAATGGAAAAAACACAGACAAAAGTATCAGGCCCTTACCAAAGTTTGCATCTTTCAGGTCCCATTTTACAAGAAAACACCTTATTCATATTCCCTAAACACACATGAATATTGAAGGGAAAAAAGTCAATTTTTTCGCATATGTCTTTAAACAAGCACAAGAAACTCTACAACTGCAACGCTAGTTTCAATTACATGAATTGTAACATAAAGATAATAACTTCATTTAAAAGAAAAGAAAACAAAGGAAACCAAGATCAGAGAGAAAGAGAAGACAAACCCTACGAGGGGTATCAGAGTTTAGATCTCTGGTGCCATTTGGTACAGCTCCTGATGATCTTCGAACCCTTTTCTTGTCTGCTGCCCCTCCTGATTTCTTCATCTTTGTGTGCCTTTACGTTTGTGTTTTCTTTTTCCGTTGTATTTATTGTCGGCTCTGTCTCTCTCTGTATTTATTTTTTTATTTACTTGGCTTTCGACATGTTTCTGTCTTTCTTTTCTAACCTAAACCAGTTGAATTACGCCACGTCATCATAATCAAGTTCGGAAACACAAAAGGAGTCCTTTCTTTCTACTTCCTCAGCGACGTGGCAAATTCAACGGTTTGAGATGTTTGTTTTATTATTATGTAAAAAAGTCCTATCAAAAGAAAAATTCTGTGATATTGTAGCTTTTTTAGTCGTTTTAGATATTATTTGGATTCTAGTATTTATTTTATAATTTTTTTTTATTTTAAAATTTAAAAAATAATATATTTTTTATTTTTTAAAAAATATTTTTGATATAAACATATTAAAACAATATAAAAAAAATATATATAAAGGAATTTTAAGCAAAATTAAATTTTAAAAAGTCACAAAGTACAATTTCAACCTAAAATAATTAGCTAACATTTAGATAGTATTTAGCTTCCTGAATATCATTTAATAAACAAATAATTTTTTATATTTGTAATTAATTTTTTATATTTTAATGTGTTGATATAAAAAAAAATAAAAAATAATAATAATATTTTAATGTATTTATAAATAAAAAACAAATTAAAAAATGCTGCAACTATACTTAATGCTACAATTTTACTTTTTAAAAATATTTTTTAAAAAATATTTCACAACATCCCCAAATTCTACCTAAGCCCATTACAGTAAGGGTTGCCTCACTAGTATTAGGGCTGCATGGAAACGTGATTGAATTAGTATTTTTAAAAAATTAAAAAAATATATTTTTTATTTTTATTAAAATTTAATATGATTTATATGTTTTGATATGTTGATGTTAAAAATAATTTTTAAAAAATAAAAAAATTATTAATATATATTTTAATACAAAAAATTATTTAAAAAATAATCCCTGCTAACTGCCAAACATATTTACAGCAGCCTGCAAGCAGGCATCGGTAAACGCAACAGCCATAAAAATCTTTTTTTAAAAAAAAATTTCTGCCAGATACATCCTAAATTCTTACATCTAACTGAAACAGTAGCTATATTTGTGTTTTCATGGTTTTTTTATTTAATTGATAAATAATAAAAAATAAAAGGTATAATTTATTATTTCATAAAAGAATATGGAAAAATCTATAAATTAAAAAAAATATTATTTTGCCCCTTAATAATATTTATATATTAATTAAAATTAATTTTAAAAATTAACTCAATTAAATCATTACTTAATTTTTTTAGATGTAAAAATATAATCCATATACTTTTTATTTTCTAATTTTTAATTTGTAAAATATATTTTAATCCACTCATACTTAATTAAATCATCCCAGTTTAATTTTTAATTAATGATTTTTAACATGTATGACCCTTTAGATTCATAACATGTTGGCTCAAATATAAAAGATAATTTAAATTGAATTGAATTAAATAAAATAAAATAATTTAATTTATTATCAATTTCATAATTGATTTTTTTATATTTAAAAATCAGTTTTATTATTTAGCAATGTGTTATGATCCTCTAAATATTATAAAAATCATTAGTGGTTTGAATTAACATTTTAGTGACTGGTTTCTTAATATAATTAATATCATTTCATTAATAATATTTTGCTTTAACATTAAAGCATATAGTATATTTACCATGTTAAATTATTTTTTTTTTCTAATAGTCATTAATTTTTGAATGAGATTTAAAACCCATTTTAAATCTAATTTTATTTTGGTCAACGATTTCTCAATCAATACTATTTGTGAATAGATGAGAAATTTTCTCCAATTTACATAAGATGGTGAATCATTTCTTAATCACTTAAATACATTCGTATAGTTTATGTTATACCTAATATCCATTATCTCGTTACTTCGATCAAGATGATATATAAAAAGATTAAAATATAACATTTTCTATACAAGATAATCACAAAAACAAACAATCCTTCATTGTAATGGGTTTAAGTAGTGTTTGAGAAAGTTGTCTAAACATCATTTGACAATTTTTTTTTATTATTATTTTGATGTGTTGATGTGTGAAAAAAAATTAAAAAAAATAAATAAAAATATTATTTTATACATTTCTAAGTAAAGACACTTTGAAAAAGATAATCACCACCATTATACCAAATACCAAATGTTATTCTAGGGTGTGTTTATTTTTGTGTTTTAAAAATATTTTTAAAAAGATTATTTGTTTTAATTTTTTCTTTACTTCAAGTTCTTTTTCTTTATATTTAAAAGTAATTTTTTTAATATATTTTTAAATAAAAAATATTTTTTAAAATCACCACCATCAGAAGGGGGTATATATATTAGACCTCCATAAACAAGATTGATCTATATTTGGTAGGAAACCGAAAAGATTTGAATATAACAAGGTTAAGCCCACTTGTTAGTTTCTAGAGCACAAGACTCACCCATGATTTATCGGATGATGAAAGCCCAGTTGGCAAGCCCAGGCCTGCCTTATGTCCCAAAGAAACAAGCTCCTCGCTTATCATCTAGCCAAAAAATGGAATAACCAAATCCTATCCTGAACAGCTGAGCTTAGATTACCCCCAGCTTCAATTGCCATACACCATGCTTGCACTCTAGCTAACTCCTTATCGTTAGCTGTTCATGAAGTGGCTCTGGTTTCATTTTCTTGTACATTCAGATGCTTTCTTTCTGCTGTCTCTCCCTCTGCAATATCAGGCAGCCATCACCACTTGCGGGACTCTCTTGGCTCCCTAACAAGAAGACGACACCAGTAGTTTCTCTGTGGCTGGCACCTGTATATGGTAAGGGTTTCAAGAGAACAAGCAAAGACCAATCTTATTTTGTACCTTCTTTTATTGTCCACGCTGTAGAGAAAGACTCGGAAAAATACGAGATAGACTCAGATAAGGCCAAAGAAGCCCTTCAAAAACTTGACCAGCAGCTCCAAGCCTTCTCTGAGAAACAAATCAGCTCTCCAAAGATAAGAGGTACCTCTCTCTTTCTATCACTGCAATGACAGTTTATGCTCTGACATCCCAGGAATTCCTTTTCTTTAATAATGCTGCTTTCGTCAAGAATTTTTAATTTTCTAGTCATTTTACAATATATTTTATTAGGATTGATTTAATAAAATAATAATTATTGTTTGAGATTTACTGACTTGTACATGCATCATGAGTGTGGTGTCTCTGGTATAAATAATCAATTTGATAAGCTGCAATCAGTTTAAGTTTAAATTTCAATCAATCTGCTCGAACAATAATTTGAACTTCCTTAATGGAATTTCGGCTGCCTCTGTTATTTGGTCCAAAATATCATATTATCAAGCAGTTCCAAAATGTCGTCACATCACCTACCACCATTTTTTTTCTGTTTTTGAAAATCGTAGTATTTCATCAAGTTGCGCAGACATTTCTTGACAAATCTGGATGGTACCTTTTTTTGGTGTTGAAGTTGTCCTTATTCTTTGGAAAGTTGTCCTCACGAGTAGATAATCAGAGATGGATAGATTCCAGTAAATAAGCAAATACTGACATTCATCGCGTTTAAGAGGAAAACTAGCTACAGGTTAGTCTAACTTGCAAACAATGAATTCCAGGGCAGTATAGTTTTGCCCTCTAGATGATATTCACATGGGTGCTAATTAACAAGATAATATGAATTTCCAGAGCAAGATGCATTATCTGTAATCACTGATCAAATAAATAAAATTTCTGAATTTCCTTCTCCAAATTAGTCAGTATTAACATTCAAGCTACCAATTACGAGCTTTAGGGGTGAGTAATTATGAATATGATCAGAAGGCAATGCCTAATGGTTTGATAATACCGTCTATGCTGAAACATGTTTTCTTCAACCTGATTTCAGCTTCTGACGTGAAACTTACAAGAGATGAAATGACAGAAGAAGTGCCAGAAGTTTCAGGGTCTGTCCTGGTATACACTGCTGCAGCTCTCTTTCTTTTCACAATTTTCTACAACATATTCTTCCTTACAGTGCTACAACCATCCGTAGACGGGCCACTACCCAAGCCAGAACCTGAAACGATTCAAGAAATTACTGCTACTACAATGGAAAGAGAACCTCCCAAAGAAGCTATTTTGCAGCTGCTGCCATTAATGTCTGAAGTTCTTATACAAAGCTCTGGAGGTGGCAATAATTAAGAAGAAAAAACAGAGGAGTAAATATTCAATTCTAAAGAACTTATTTTCAACCTCTTTTGGATATGAATATATCAGATATGCTGTAAGTCAAGTTCTGGCTTGAAATGTTTCAACTTTTCAGAAAATGCAAAGAGAAGTGCGGGTTTTTTTTTTTTTTTCCCCTGCTTGTCATGTTAAGAAAATGTATGAGCCAACAGGATAATATTGAGAAAGAACGGGGGCACTCTACTTCTCTCCATTCTTTTTAAACACCAGCCTGTGTTATTTGTTGTTCAGTAAAAAAACATTGCTGATGAATCAGCATTTCTGAAGCCCATTGAAAAAGCCTAAAACCTTGTCTAAAAAATCCAATAATAGGAAGGCAACCCACCGATAAATGGGTTTAGCGAGTTATCAGATTTAATATACTTAAATTTGATATTTTGAGTTCAAGTAAATATGAGTCTAACAAGCTGTTAGACCTAATATATTTAAGTTTAACTATGAGTTAAGTTAAAATAAACACAGACCTAGCGACGTACCAAACCCAACAAACTTGAGTTTGGCCATACACTGAGTCCAAATAAGTATAGACCTAGCAACTTGTAAGATATAATAAACTTGGTTCGGTCATGAGTTGATACCAAGTAAATACATGTCTAGAGAACTGTCAGATTCAACATGCTTGAATTTAGTTACACGCTAAACCTGAGTAAGCATGGGTCTAGTGAGCTACCACACCCAACACATGTAGGTTCAGATAGATGTTATGCTTAAGTAAACATGAGTCTAGCAAGCTGCAAGATCCACCTCTCCTGGAATTGGTTACATGTGAAGCCTAATTGATTTAAGAGTCATTATAAATCCATGTTAGGGTTACAAAGCTTTATTTATTCAT